CCAACGAGGAAGACCCCGAAGCCAACGAGGAAGACCCCGAAGCCAACGACGAAGACCCAGAACCCAACGATGAAGACCCAGAACCCAACGATGAAGCTCCAGAACCCAACGACGAAGACCCAGAACCCAACGATGAAGACCCAGAACCCAACGATGAAGCTCCAGAACCCAACGATGAGGCCCCACAACCCAACGAGGAAGCCCCCGAAGCCAACGTAGAAGAGGGCGGCGTCAAGGGGGACGACCCCGGCGCCGCCGAAGAAGACCCCGGGGCCAACGAGGAAGACCCCGCCGCCGCTGAGGAAGACGCCGGCCCCGCCGATGATGTCAAAGGGGCCAAGGATGAAGAAGAGGATGAGGATGGAGGAGGGTGGAAGCCCCCCAGCTCCTCCGCCACCCCCCCGCCGGGGAAAATGAGGACTCCTTCTCCTTCGGCGTCTTCGGCCAAACTGTAACAAGCCTTGACCACCCCGAAGGGAGGAGGGTGAGGAGGAGGAGGAGGCGGCGGGGCCACCATCATCATCCTCCTCCTCCTCCTCCTCCTCCTCTCTTGGGCGGAGGGCGCCGGCTCCACCTTGACGATGCAGACGTCGTCGGGGGCGGCGTCTTCTTCTTCCTCGTCCTCCTCCTCCTCTTCGGTTTTGGGGGGTAAGGAGACGACGGGGTGACGCCGGGTGGCGGAAGAAGAGGAAGACGATGAGGAAGATGATGATGATGGAGGGGGTTGGATGAAGCGAGCCAAAGCTCCTCGGCACCGTTCCACCACGTGCTCCATCTGGAGGTAACTGGCGGCCGTTAAATAATTAACGAGGTCCCGGCCGGCGAATTCCAAGGCCCCGGTGTAACAAGAGAGGAGGAGGTCGGCCAAGACCCGGGCGCTGTGGGCCAGTGAAACCCGTAACTCGGCCGCCGGGTTGAGGAGGAACTGGTCCCTCAAAAAAGGGGAGCAAGCGGCCAAAATCACCCGGTGGCCCCGAAATCGCAAACTCCGGGCCACGATGGTGACGTCGCAAAACCTTTCCTCCGCCCTCAACCGGTTCATGCTCCTCAAAGCGGCCGCTTCGTGACCCGGCAACTGGAAACGGAGCACCTCGGCGCAGGAGGACATGGTGGTGGGGACGGGGGGGGGGG